AGCGAGAACGGTAAGGACGTATCCTACCGTAACTACGGTAAGGAATACTAGAAGACGGGCAAGCGACCTATTAGCGAATACGTCGGAGCGACGAAGTATTATAAGATCGACCTAACTACCTATAGCGAAGTCTAATTCTTATAGATAGTAGCTACTAGACGACTCTCGATAGTGCGCCTACCTCTACTAGACTCCTAGCTTAAGGACTATACAGTTTAGCTACTACTAATCGGTATAGAACTTAGTACCTAGTCGGCTATATAGCTCTATAAGTAGTACAAGTCGTCCCTTAATTCTAGTAGTCTACCCTACCTATACCGTCGCAACCTAGGTCGCCTAGCTATTACCTAGAACGTCGTCGCTTACACCTAGCAGTATATTACGGTCTATAACGCCTATACGCTTCGCGGTAAGGGCTATATATCCGCCCTCTACACTAATAAGGCGCTTACGGATACGAAGGCTACTAATACGTCGCGTACGGAACAGTACGCTTAGCTTATAGGTAGCGGTCGCTACTAGAACGGTACCTATGCCGCTAATAAGGGCAAAGGCATGCCTCTACTACTCCTTAACCGTTAATACCTAGTAGACTTTAGCCTAGTCTGCTAGCTAACTTAGATCGATCCGGTATACGCCTTATCTACCTTTATCGCCTATATCTAGACGCTTAAGGACGGCGCTATCCCTAATAGATTAGAGCCCGCGCTAACGCTATAGTTCTACAATTTGCCGAAGACGGTCTCTACCGATCTAGTCTTCGATCCTTTAGGCGTCTAGGAGCGTATTATATAGGGTAATACTATTTTTAAGTACGATAAGATAGTAACGAATAAGAATTACTAGTAGTACAATATCGACTATACTTAGGATCCTATAGGCGTATTCCTAGTACTGTTACCCGACTACTCGCTAGACGAGACCGACCTTACTAACGCGTACCTCTTTAGTAAAATCTTCCCTCCTAAGCTCGCGACTCGGGCTAAGCCGCAACCTCCGGCCGTTGCCCCGCTAACTAAGGCGATCTAGCTAAACTCCTCGCGCGTATTACTATCGACTAAGTTAAACACTCGCTAGAAGCTAACCGCTAGCCCGTTCTTAGCGCCTCGCCTATCGTCGAAGATACCGCTACCGTCTAACCTATTCTCTACGCCTACGAAGGCTCTAGCTACGGCTTAGCTACTACCGCCTAACAATACGGTTACGTAGCTATAGTACAAGCTCCTAGCGCTTCCGATACGCTTACTACCTTTGCCCGCTTTATAGGAAAATACTATAGGCGCCTACGGATAATACTAATATAATACGACGGCAATTAGTATACGTACGCTTAACTTACAAGCTCTCTACTATATACGCTAGTCCGAGTTAGTAGCAACCGAGGTGTACTAGCTTTAATAGATGCTAGCTAAGGCATAGATCCGCGAAGTAACTAAGCGCTAGATAGCCTAGTAGTATCGTCTTTCCGCTACGGTCTTAAAGGAGTCGCTTACGCTATCGCTAACCTATCTTTACTACGATTTCTTACGCGTCGCGCCGTAATAGGCAATCCCTATACTATACCTAATTAACGAGGACGCTTTTAAGCTACTCGGCGGCGTATAAGGCAATACTACTAAGGATAAGATCGCTAAGCTTAACGCATAGATAGCCGACTACTTTAAGCTATACGGTACTATACGCGACGCCGATACGCTGCTATTACTAGGTGCCGACTTCCCTAACATCCCTATCGATTAGTTAGACCGCGCTACTACTATAGCGGACGTAGTTAATACCTCGCTATCCGATAACAAGACTATAAAGACCGTTACGCCTTAGCCGCAGCTAAAGGCGGTTTAGACTATACCGACTAGCTTACGCGACGCCCTTCGTAACCGTCGTAATAAGCAAGTATAAAACCGACGCAGTTATTACTAGAGAGACACGATTCTGTACCTAGCATTACCGTTCTAGTATACTGTTTAGGTTTAGCCTTTGTGCGACGCTATTACGCTCTTTTTGCCTTAAACCTTCCTACGGTGCGGCCTGCTAAGGACCTTTGTTTTAGGACACTATAGACAGTGCCGACCTTTTTTATAGGGAGGGAGGCTATTACGATATAACACTATTGCATATACGATAGCAGGCAGCGGTCACTATCGACCGCTGCGGTCGCTATTGCTACTAATAGTAGGACTATTATATAGATAGCTTGCCTCGCGGTACCTTAGAGAATATATTAACTTTTGCACCGCATAACCGTTACGATACCTTCGTACTGTAACCGTGTGCCTAGCATTGCTTAAAGCTACGTATACATTCGTACACTTCTTAAAAACCGATAAATTATATAGTTCGAACTAGCTACTTATATAGTTGCTTAGCAAACTAACCTAAACTAAACTAGAGTTTCGGCTTAGCAAACTAAACCAAACTAACCCGAACTACTACGGGGTCTAAAAGAAGATAAAGAAGCGGAAGGCGTACTACCTTATTAAATAGCGAGGGTAGCCTAAAGAATACAACACTTAGGAGCTAGCTATTTATATTAAAGATTCTATAGCGTTAGACGAGTTCGAAGCTTAAGCGAAGCGTAAGCGTAGGTAGTAATTAAAACAAAAGAAAATAAAACTTAAGAAAAATAGTAGATATATACTCGTTTCGCTACTAAAAAAGGCCTATTAGCCTAGTATATATAAAGAAGGCGCCGCGTAGGCGCGCCGACAGCGGACCGCCTACTCTACTTATCCTTAGAATCCTTAGCCTCCTCCTCCTCTTCGTTACCTATAGCGGTATCGATAGTAGCGATAGCCTTAGTGCTAACGCGCTAGGCGAGGTTCTAGTATAGTTAGTATACGAAGCGTAAGTAGAACGAGGCTATAGGAAAAACTATACCTAACGACTAATCTCTACTAAACTAGCTAGGTTAGTACCGATATACTCGAGGGTACCGAGTAGGTTAACGTCCGTAAGGGACCCGCTAGCGGCCCCCTTATAGGCTAGGGCTTTACCGCTAGGGGTTACTTTATTCTTATTAGTATAAAAGACGTATAGCGCAGATAGGATAACTAACGTCGAGGTTAGTATACAAAGCGCAATTAGAGCGTATAAGGAATATACGTACAACTATAGAGTCTAGCTCGGCCTAGAGTGCCTCTAAGGCCTCGTTAGACTCCTCGATAGAGTCGTAGCCGTCTAGGTTATATAGGTCGCGCGTAGAGCGTATAGCGCGAATGCGCGCTAGCAGCGATACTAGTAAGCGGGCCGTAAGCGGAGTATAGGTATAATAACTACTATAGTAGCGATCGTAGTTACGCTTAGTAGTAGGGTCTATATTGCCGCCTATATAAACCTTAGTTAGGTCTACTAAAGCGAGTTAGTTGCAAAGCGCAAGCGCGTAGTAAGTAGCGAGAATATATACCGTTAGCTGTTATATACTTAAAGTAACGGATATAGCCCTCTAGGACTTTTAAGGGGCGCTAGGTAGGTATAGTAGGTATTAAGGGCGGTGCGCCTATAGCGCGCTTACCTAAGGCACGCGAAGGAGTAGCTATACTAGTAATGTTTTTTTTAGATAGATAATTAAAGAAGAAAAACTTTTAAGTAATACTAGGGAGGCGTAAGATATAAGTAGGTAGGGGGTAGGCAGATAGTATTCGGAGCGCTTAGAAAAAGAAGAAGTTTTTAAGCGGGCTTCGAATACTTTAAATACTCGCCTCGCTTTCGGATAGCTTACGTTCTCGCGTAGCTACCGCGTTCTTAGAAATTTACTACCTCCGTTTAGGCCTTTATATATTAAGGATTACGTTCCGCGGTAGTGAATTGGTTAGATTGCACGTAATAGATTTAAATAAATTAGGGCTAGCTTCCGTCTTTCTAAACAACTAATTACATACTACTCTACCTAATCCTTCGCCTAAAGGCCTAAAGCTAAACCGCTAATTTTTATCGTAGATTCCGCTATTAAAATACGATCTCGCTACACTAACGACAACTAGCAAATCTAATACGAGGAGGTTGTAGCCCTACTAATTGCGAGTCTAACGATCTAAAAATCTCGTATATACGACGTATATGCGCTAAGTTATACTAATTTAGCCGAGCCTACTTCTATAGCTGTCTGCCTATCTAAATACACCGATTCTTAATATATCGCTATACACTAAGTTAACACCTAGAGGTCCTTAATTAGGGCTATCTAACTAACTTCTTCGCTGTACCGTATACGCACCTACGCGCGACTTCTCGCTATCGAGTTCTCGTCTACGTCGGAAATAGTTTGCCCTACCGAGTCGAGACGAGTATACGACTAAATTATATAGTAAATAGATACGCGGAGGTTATAGAGGGCACTAGAAAAGTAGACCCCCTACACTTTGTTAACGTAGAAGGGCGTCGTTTGTTTACTCGTAAAGTATATAGGGGTAGGTAAACGAGTTAGTCGAGAGTAGCAATTTACGTTTATCGATAATAACTTTAGCATTTCTAAAGCGACTAGCTTATTAAAATAGCGGATATTCTTAATCGCTAAATTATCTAGGTCCTGTCTCTATAAAGTGCTATACTACGACTAATAGTTGTTAAGCTATATAGCCTATTCGATATGAAATATAGTAGTAGTAACGCAACCTATACCCGCTAGCAACAGTTTAGCTTTAGGCGCTTCGCTAGAATAAGATCTCGAATAGCGCTAAACCTAATATAGTATAGTATAGAAATGGAAGTTACGAGCACATACACGAATTCAACTACGAAGCGCCTAAATAGAGGTAGGAAATTTAGGCAACCTCTAGTTAGTACTAGAAGTAGCCGCGCTTTAAATCTATAAACAAACAAGCAACTACGAGGCAAATTATAACGTGCTTAGCAACTATAGCCTAGCGACAGGTACGTATAAGACGCGCAAGTATAGCGTAGAGTATAAGAAATAGTATAATTTACTATATTGCCCTATAGCTAGGATAGCTATACTAGGGGAAGGAGATAATTATAAGAACCTAAGTAAGTAAAGTCTCCTATTATGCCTTAGCAAGCCTATATAATAATTATATAATATTATTACGTGTACTACGGTGCTGTCTCGCTAGCGTAAAGCCTACTTAGCGTATACGCGGAAAAGCTCGGTCGCTTATACGGATATACTCGATTGCCGGCTCGGTATATATACTATCCGTACGTAGCCTAGTTAATAGTAAACGCTCTGCCCTATTCTAAGAAAGGCACGGTTTAGTTCTACTTTCTACTACGGCGATTAGTAGAGGGTGTTCTATACGTTGCTATATACCTATTTTCTTACAATCTATAAATATAGTATAGGGGTTTGTTATATTTTAAACAATTAGATTAATAGCTTTTTGTTTTCCATTTATCTACAAAGTTAAACAGTCTGTGTCTAAAACTAGTACACTGCTTTTTGTTAATAGCTGGTATGCTAGTGTTAGTAGCCTTCCGTAGTCGTTACTATCTCGACACACATTCAACAGCGTGCTCGTTTTCTACCCAAGGACTACAGTACCGCCGCTTCAAAAAAAAGTGAGATGAAGCAAGGAGAGTATATTGGGATTGACATGAAATGCTGCTGCAATGGTATCAATGCTAGAGGAAGAGGCAGTCTTGGTATGCAAACATCGCTGAAAAAGTGACACAACGTGCGAGCAGGGTTCGTCTTCCAAAGTGCAATGCAATGCAGTCTGATAGACGCTTCAAAAATTACCTGCTCGATCTTCCAAGTGTAAATGTGATGACAACCACGGCGCCAAGGATGACAATGGCACCTGGAATCAGAAGCTCGTTTGGCACGCCTTGAATGACCTGCTCTTGAGCTTTTGCCGGTTGTGCTTTGCGACCGCGACGGTCTGGGATGTGGCGTGCCTCGTCTTCCTCCTCCTCGTCAGACTCGTACGGCTTGCGACGTCTGACTGAGCTTTCCGGTGGGGTTGGAGGAATGATCGTAGGCTGTGGGTCGACAGTGGCTGGGATGGCTGGCTTCTCCGGATCGTGCACGAAGAGGTCGACCTTGTCCTTACGAGCTGACTGCGCAAGCATAATAGCTTCGAGGAGATCGTGGTCCGTGGTGATGGAGACGGTATCACCTTCGTTGTCGAGATAGCTCAATGCGAAGCCAGCGTGCTGAAGCTTGCCATTCTCGAATGCGGGAACGCCTCCGATTCCCTCAGCTTCAGCACCCAGCTTGTCAGCAATGACACCAATCAACTCGCCAAGACCTTGTGCAGCTATGACGTGCAGCCGATGAACACGACCACTGGGTGCCTTGAACTTGAAAGTGAAGGGCGTCTCCTCTATGTTTGCGCCAGCAAGCGCTGATGTCTGATCATGATCGATGCCATTGTGCGATGCTGAGTCAGTTGGGAGGACAGAGTCGCCGCGGTCCATCATGCCGGGCCGGTGACCGTCAGGCGACATCATAGCGAACCTATCAGGCGTATGAGGTGCGTGACTGCTGCCCTCGCCAGACATCAGTGATTCGGTATCGCCATGGTCCATCGACATCCAGAATTTGCTCCAAGCCGGACCAGCACCTTCACCCTCGTTGGTCGACATGCTGTTAATCTGGTCAAGAGTGGCGTAGGTAAGTTTGAGGACGTCTACCATGCCGACAATTTCGTCGCTCTCTTTGTTCATAACTGGAAGGTTCAGGTAGTGTCCATCATGCATCTTTCGAAGAGCTTGCTGAATGCTCATGTCCATTGGAGCAAAGTCTGGATGAGGTGTCATCACACGAATGACGCTACAGTTGCCTGGATCAAGACCTGCAGCAATGACACGGAGAACGACGTCTTTCGAGGTGAAGATACCAGTGATCTGGCCCTGATCTTGAACCAGCACTGCGGTTGTGTGGTTCTCTTTCATGAGTTGGGCGGCTTCTTTGACACTTGTGCGGACCGAGACGGTGGTTGGAGGCAGGCCGTTCAAGACTGACTCTAGTGTTGGGCCAGACATGCGGTGTCTCACAGCTTCGACGTATTGGATGATTTGCTGAGGCTGAGTTGAGCCAAGCTCGGCCTGGACACCCTCGAGAGCATCGTACAACTTCTTTGATGAAGCATATGCGCGCTCCAGCTTCTCCATTGCATCGTAGAAGCACTTTGTGATGTCCAAGATACCAGAGATGTCGTGGTTCTCATCCATGACTGGCAAATGTCTGAAGCCTTTCCGCACCATCAGATCCAATGCATCGGTCGCGCTGGTGTCTGTCTTAGCACAGAGTGGGTTCTTGGTCATGATCTCTGCAACAGTAACATTGTTCGCTTTCAATCCAGCGCCGACCACTCTGAATGCCAAGTCCTTTGCTGTGAAGATACCGGCAATGCGATCGTCGTCATCGGTCACCAAAACACAGTCTTCTCTCTTTGCAGCCATCAATTGAGCTGCCTCGGTAACGCTCAGTGTCGGCTTGATCTGGAGGGCTTGATTCGGCTTGAGTGCAAGGACGGTGCCGGGAGGTGCTTTTCGACGCTGAGCAGTGCGTCCAGCAGGACCTCGCTTCTTGCTGAGGTCCTTTTCCAGTTTACTACGAATGGCCTTATTCAAGTCAATCGCAAAACCTACGACATATCTGTAGAGCTACCCTACCTCATCTCGCTTCGACTGCTTCGCTCTGCTGGCGCTGTATGAAGTGGCATGGGTGGCATCGCTGAGGGTGGATGGGTGAGAGTCGAGCTTGGGTCTCGGGATGCCAGAGGAGGCATTGATCGTGTCGTAGCCCTTGGCCTTGGGTGTGCCTCGTGCGCCTGATGCCGTCGACATGCCGGCAATTGTCTCCTTCCAGCTCCGCGGACCTCGAATTGATGTCTGGAGCTTTGGGTGAGACCAAACCGTCTTCTTGACCTTGACCGCAATGATCAATTGCTCAAAGAGGTCGCGGTCGCCAGGGATCGGATCGCGGTAAACAAACGGAAGTCGGTGATAGCCGGCACGGAGCGAAACGTCATTAGCGGCGGATACTCCCGCGAGAATTCCTTGGCAACACTTTCCACGAAATCAGCATCGCACCGCACTTTGCAGCTTCGAGCCGATCGCCCTCCTCCCACCACCCAACGACAACACCACCCACCACAGTCGCCCAACATGGTCAAGAAGCGCGCATCCAACGGTCGCAACAAGAAGGGCCGCGGCCACGTCAAGCCAATCCGCTGCAGCAACTGCTCGCGATGCACTCCAAAGGACAAGGCAATCAAGAGATTCACCATCCGCAACATGGTCGAGTCTGCTGCTATCCGTACATACGACCCAGTTCTCTGAGTGCTAGACAATCCGCTAATACCAAACCTCAGGTGACATTTCTGACGCCTCTGTATTCTCCGAGTACGCCGTGCCAAAGATGTACCTCAAGCTCCAGTACTGCGTCTCCTGCGCCATCCACGGCAAGATTGTTCGGTACGGCGATGCCTCCGCTCCTCCTCTGTTCCTTCTACTAACACTTCCCTCCCAGTGTCCGTTCCCGCGAGGGTCGCCGCAACCGTGCTCCACCACCACGTGTGCGATACAACAAGGACGGCAAGAAGGTCAACCCAACCCAGACCACCAACAAGCCACCCGGCGCTCAGGCATAAGCGAGACGACCGCACGAGGCATTATGGGACTGGGACGGAGTTCACGGGACATATGAAATGGAGAAGAGGCGCAACTTGAAAGAGCCAGCATGAGATTGGCCGCGCTATAGTGCCATGGATAGCTTCTGAATGAATCGAAGTTTCACAACCCAGACAGATGTACCTGCAAGACTGCGAATGTAGTCCTTGTCAGATGAAGCCTGTCCGACTCGCGAGAGTCTAGTCTGTCGACTGGCGCGAAAGCTCTATATGGGACGGATGACCTTTTCTTTCCTGTCTCGCCTGAGACTCCTTCCACTGCGTGGCACTTGCCATTGCTAGGTGTCTGGCTGCACTGTGTTCATACGGGAGTCTTCTGTGGGCGTCATTGTTGCAGATTGAAGCGGACAACTCCTTCCGCCGTCTTTTTGTGATGCTCGCCAAGGTCACTTGCGGCCACTCCTATGCGTCTTCGATTGCGGGTACCCGATCGCATGGCAAACGTTTTGTAGGCATTCCTGACCACGCTTCGGGTAAACCGATCGCGCATACTGCCAACGCTTTTATGCAATATCTCTCCTGTCTTGCCCAGGCCCAATTCCTGCGTCCTCCACAGCCAGAATGTCTGCTAGCGGATAGAGCCAATGAGTTCATCGAAATCCACATCGGATTCCCATCCACCCTGTTCGAGTAATTTTCCTGCCTTCTTGCGAATTCTTTCGGTACACTGGGCTGCGGTAGCAATTATGTCTTCAGACGGAGGAACAGCTTCGTAGGGATGATTTGATTCAGCCACAAAGCTGATGAGAGCAATAGTATCCTGCACCCCGAGCTCGCGCGCGTGCATAAATTCCGTCAACGTTGGCCTCAACTTCCTCGCCACTCTCGCATGCCGCGTCACAGCCCCCATAGACCCCATAATCGTCGAACTATTCACGGTGAAGGCAAGGCTTTCCAAGGACCGTAACTTTGCCGCCTGAAGCTCAAGTCCAACGAGAAGGCTATTCAGTCGACGCCAGACACCATCGAATCTGATCTTGCGAATATATGGCAAGACTTCTATGGGGAAGCACTCGAGCCCCTCATCGCCATCGACAACGAACGTGCTGCCACCATATAAGATCGGCTTTGTCTCAGCGTAGATCTGGCGATTGGTACATAGGAGTGACGTGCCCCAGACGGCCGTGACCTGATTTAGGCGGATTCTCCAGCCTCGCCACTTCTTCACATCGAGACTGTCTTGGATCATGTGGATTTCGATGTCGGATGCCAGGATGAATTCGTAGATGTGGTTTCGCAGTTCGGGGGGTAGCTCCAGGAGTACACTTAATCTCGACGTGTCCATTTGGTCCGATGCTGAAGAGTTGGGATTCAAGCAGCTTTGTCGGCGCCAGCTGGAGTTGTTTTAAAGAACAGTTGGAGTTGTTTTCGAGAACAGCTGGAGTTGTTTTAGAGAACATTTGGTCAGCGACAGACTTTTCTCCACTTACCACTGTTGTGACAGCTTGTGACAGCAGTTGAGTTCGAGTCGTTCAATCACTGAAGAGGTAAGTGGAATCAGTAGAGCTAATTCTGCACGGACTACTGTCACAATATATGACCAGAATTTCTCTGGCTGACTTCACCCTTCAAGACTAAGGTGAGCCAAACTCATATCATGCGCTTTCGAACTAATCAGAACTACCCGAATGCATGTCATCACCGACTATCATTCTCGAAACTTCTTTCCGAGTCCCAATGCACTCTTGTCCTTTAGAATGAAATCAAGCAGAACAATCTCCCATCGACCGAAGAGGGCCTCCAGCCTGCTCACTTCTACATGGCCTTCTGCGTCCGACTCACAACTTCCAAGAACTGACTCATACAGAACGCATCCGAGTCAGCCTTCTCAAATTGCTCACCGACCTGCTTCTGGATCTCCTGTTTCCACTTCTCGGCCATGACAAGCCTGTCCACGTTGTACTGAGAACTGACACCCTTCTATCCGTCATCATCCGTCGCGAAACCCACTGAACCGACTGTGGCCTTCAGAGTTAACTCCTGCTGCTTCTTCTTCTTCTTCCACGTCTGGAGAAGCGGTATCAATCTGGACACCAGGACGGGCAATTCCTTCTCCGCAGACTTGCCCACAAGCATATCGACGGGAGATAACTCAAGCCTCTTGAGTTGAACCACATCCCTCGCGTTCTCGATAGTACTAAATAGTTCTCGAGCCGACTATACAAATCAAGGAATAATATCGCGCCGGCTACCCTTCAAGTTTCACATCCTCGATACCTCTAGAGAATAGAAGATTCCACTCAGTGCGACACCAGCCATGCTCAAGCTCGTGACTGGATTGATCTGCATGGTAGCCTGCTCCAGTTCTCGGGGGCTCATTCGGGCCAGAAGTGCTCCTAGACGACCACTTCAAAGACAGGAAATTCTTCAGACAAGGGAGGGGCAAGCCTTCTAAAGCAAAGACGTGCGAGACCAAAGTGAAGCGCTGCAGTGGACAAGGAAGAGCACGGCCGGACATATCCCCCCTAATGTCCCTCGACGCGTACAAGGCTTCTAAGATACTGCGGACGGCGACAGCGCCCACCACCGCTAGCCCCGCCGCCGTTAAGAAAGCCACGTGCACTGCTCGTTAAGCTATATAAACGTCGGAAAGCCAGGCCCATTCAATCAGAAAAAGGAAAGCACAAATGTAAGCCGCTGTTCCAAAATAGCGCAATGGTAACGCGGTCTGATGATAAGTCAAAAGTTCTGCTAACTGCTGATTCACGACCAAGTGATGACGAAAGAGGAATTTTCGCTTCCGTCCCCATTGAAAAATCGGGGCGTTTCGTTTTTGCTATTTTGAATAATAGGTCAGTCAGGTCGGCGATTTGAGGTATCTATGTACTACAGTACGCGGATTGTGGCAGCAGTGTCTCTTTGACTGACTTCCATCAGGTCGGGAGAGGTAGTTTTTTGCATGCAGCACATTGGTCATTGAGTGTCGACAGTTGTTTGTTTTAAGACAGTGTGTCAAACTGCATGTGTGTCTCTCATAGCAATCACCTAGATAGTTAAGAGGAGCCCAGATGCCCTCTCTGACAATCAAGCATCTTTGCATCTTCACACTTGTCCCTCCGTTCTACTCCAACTCGCGTCTTGCAATCTTACAAATGTCGTTTTGTCGGTCAATATCAGTAAGAGCAGTATTAGTATACACTCACAAGGACTTGGCAAAGGACTCGGATGAACTTTGCTCGTTGGCTGGAGCAGCGATGTCTCTGTCTACAAGCGCCATCTCCTACCTCGCGCAAGAAACACGCCTTCAAACGCGACGGTTTGTACCTGTTGACGCATGTGTTGTGGGTCGGTCTGAGCTTCATGTGTCACTTTGATAGAAGTCCGTGCGCCTCAAGTCGAGCTTTATCTTGCCGCAATCTTCCTTCCAACATCTTTCTCAAGACACTTGCTATCACAACACCCTCCACATCTGGTAAGTGTTATGAAGAAGCGTCGCATGTTGTCGCTTGCTAACTACGAGCATAGCTGTTGATTGTTGATTCCTATAATTACATAATCACTTACAATCATAGTAATTGTGGTTGTGATTATTATACGTGTGATTATGTGATTATAATCACAATTAGTCGGCGTTTCTTAGGCAATCGTAGGCAATACTACGGCGTATAAGTATCCCTCAATTTCGTAGTATTTCCTCCTTCTTCCTTATATAAACTCGTATTAAAAATAGGTTAGAAGCGCGTAGAAGTAATCGAGGTAGGTTAATAGCGAATACTATCGGTTGCTATAGCTAATCGTATAGATATCGGATAGCGAGTCGGAGTCGGAGGTTAAGGTTATAGATACCTTATTATCGCTACTACCGCTACCGCCGCTATAGACTTAGACTTAGACTTAGCCTGTCGATAAGAAGCCTATCGCTAATAGCGCTTCCGATAAAGAATAACCGGTTGCTAAGAGGCTTTATAAGAACCCGAAGAAGACGGTAAAAGGTTAGGATTAGCTCGATTAATAGTATAAGGAAATAGGGGCTTAGCAAGCTATTATAGAAGGGTTGTTATAGGAGTCTCGCTATATACTAAAGGAATACGAAGGCGTAGAATACCGACTAATTACGAAGAATACCGAGCTCGATATTTATAGGAAGAAGATAGAGGCTTTCGAGGATTATATCCGTAAGAAGGGTAATTATATAGCCGTATATCTAGCGGACTGTCGCTGCTAGGTCTATCGCGAGCGGATATAGAGGGTAGAAGAGAGGGCGAAGCACTTTAGGTTTAGTAACCCCTATGCTTGCTACTCGTATATACTATATACGGGCGAGGAATACGAATTAAAGCTCGAGCTCGCTATATAACGTACTCGTAATACATTAGCTATCGAAGCTTTCGGAAAGGAGTGTATTAGTAGTAGTAATAGTAGTATTAAAGGTGTTAAAGATATTATAAAGGATTAGAATAGTATATAGAATAGTAGGAGTTGTTACTTACGCGCCTACCTGTTCCTATTAATTATATTATTTAGGGTCTTTAAAGCCTAATAGGAGCCTTCGGAGTCTACTAACCGAGCGGCTTCGGCTCGCGCCTTAAACCTTAGTAAGCCCTATTAAACTCAAATTTTCTAAACCTCTATTCTTTTATAACTTCTACTATTTCCTTACTATAGTAGAGATACGCAAAAACCCTAAGCCTTTATAGCGGCGCTTAGAAAACTTCCGTAAGAACTAAGAAACCTAATAGGAAACGCAGGATAGACAACGGATACTATTTACCTAAGATTCGAGCGATCTAAGCGAACTCGAAGATATCGAAGACGGAGAGGTACTAAATCCTATACTACTACTACTACTAAGTTAACCTCCTTAGCTAATACCTAACCTATTATTCCTTCCTATATAGTCCTTATCGTCCTTAGTAACACCTACGCAACCGATACCGATACCTATACTATCTAAGAAGCGAAAGAGAGCTAGTAATAGGCGTAATCCGGAGTTGTAGTCTTACTCGAGACCTCTAAAGGATAGCGAGCCTAAAAGAGTTAAGAACAGCCGCTATCGAGTATTCTACTATAAACACTATAGCGATAACGATCTAGAGCGCTTTTAGTCTTAATCTAGCAACGCCGCCGAGCACCTATTCTATAAGCATTAAGTTATCGTTAGTCGTATAAAAGAGAAGGATAATAGTAAGAAACAGAGTATAATTGACTTCTTAGCTACTATCCGGAAGAACTTAGAAGTTAAGGCATAGAAGACCGTTAATATACTAAAGAACGCAGCGGATAAGAAGACCTTTAGATACGCTCTCGTACGCTTTATTATAGCACTTAGTATCTCTTATAGTGCTGTTATAACGAAGGAGTTTAAGGACCTAGTATTAGTAGTTAACCTATAAGCTAACTACGTCCTCCTACGCTTATATACGACCCTCTTTAGCTATATTCTATATAACTTCGAGCACTAGCGAGAGTACGTTAAACAAGGCTTATTAAGCGCCTTAAGCTGCATCTACGTTAGTACTAATATATAGAAGTCTTAGTATAGAAGAAAGTACTTCTAGGCTATTAATTGTTAGTATGTAAACAATAAGGGCAAGTTAGTTTAACTACTGCTAGATCTTCTATAACTTCCGGTTGGCTCTTATATAGGCGACTTCCTCGCACTACTACTTATTAATAGCTTTAAGGTCTTTAATATGATAGACAAGATCGGCTAGATAACTGCTAATAATAGCTCTAACAACAAGACTCTCTATATAGCTATAGAGACCTTTATTTAAGTAGAAGGCTATAGCTACTTCTAGAAGCGCTATCTACGCTATATTAGCTATATTATTAACCGGATAACGCAGGCATTTATATTCGCTAGGAGTAAAGAGTCCGCCGAGAGTAAGGAGTTTAAACTATCTATAATAGACTCGGATAGCGACACTATATCTATCTCGAAGTAGCTAGATATAGACGTAGAGTCCTTTGCTAAGCAAGGTCTACTGCAACGGCTATTCTTACTAGCTAAGCTTCTACGCTAGAACGACAACTTTAACGTATTTAAGGAGGTATATAAGGCCTAGCCTTTACTACCTACTACAATACCTAAGATTCTAGGTAAAATACGCTAGAATAGGTAGCTTCTTATAATTAAGGAAGCACTATAAACGAGGCTAATATTGAATAGCTTCTTCGATAGAATGCCGCACTTAAGAGACTCTTAGCTTACTACCGAAGAATAGTCTGTTCTATAGCATACTTACGACTTCCTTATACTATTTAAAGAGGTTACCCTTAAGCTATAAGGCTATATAGTAATACTAGATTAGTACTAAGAAGCTATAGAATATATAAGAAGCTACCTTACTCGGTTAGTAGAAGACAATACTCGGCGTTAACCTCTTATCTGTTTAATTTAGCTAGTAAGACAGCTATTCGATAAGTACTATCGTCTTAACTAATAGACCTATATCTACGCCGTAGTAGTCCTTCTATATCTAACTCGGCGACTCGCGTAGTTAAACAAGTGCTTAGCAATCGATATAGACGCCGCCTTATTAGAAGCTAAGGCTCTATAGCACGATTATAAACAGCGCTATAGATATAGCACTCCTTACTCAACTTCTAACCGCAACCTCGAAGGTCTTACTAACCTAGAACGTTAGTAAATATAGTTATAAGCCGACCTTGTTACTAGCGACGAAGATGCCTTCGAAGCCTTTATCTATAGACTACTAATTAGCCTTCTAATTGTCGGTAAAGACTATAACAATAGGCCTGTTTATATAATACTAATTAAGTAGTAGATATAGCAACAATCGGCTAATCTAGTACTCGTACGGCTTACTATCGACCTATTGTCCGCATTCGCTATATCTATAGAGTCTAAGCGGACCTTTAGTAAGAGCCGGCGTACGATATTATAGGAGCGGTCGTTACTTAGTAGTAACACTATCCGTACAAGTAAGTATTTAAAGAGTTAGCAGTCTATAGGCGTTGCTTATATACTATTAGAAGGGCTGTATTTACTAGAAGGCGTAGAGTACGAAGATAATGTATTGCTAGCTACTAATAACGACTATAGTCTTTGAAATAGCATCCTTCTTAACTATAATACTTACTACTATATTGATTATATAATTATAGCGATTGTGATTGTTGATTAATTACTCACCTGAGATTGTGATTGTAATAACAGTTAGGTGATTGTGATTAATCAACAATCAACAGCTATGACTACGAGCCAGCAGAGTGTTGAAGATGGTGTTAGAGTTGAAGTTACGGCCTGCTCGAGTCTCTGGCATGGCTTCGACGACCGAAGCGGCAGATGAATCAAGGGCTACACCCTCTAACTCGAACATTACCATACCGCCTTCCGCCCCTAACGCGCAAGCGACCGGACTTTTCGACCTCTCAGCCGAACTGCGGAACCAAATCTACGAATATGTCCTCGTCGATTCATGTCCGATTTGGTTGCGCAAGGGCTACACAGGCCGATGGTAATCGCGAGCAGTCTTTCGAACACCTTCCCCTCGCGGTCCAGACGGCGTCAAATCCATCACGAGGCAACTGCCATGTTCTACGGTCGCAATGCTTTCATTGTAGCATGGCAGCACCCCTGTAGCCCGTTCAACGAGTCCACGATTCGTCATGTCCGCATCCTCAGGCTCTTGTCCAGTACCCTCGATTTCCAGTTCTCACAGCAGCGGAAAGACAGCTTCCGCAAAGGTCTGGCGCAACTGGCATCGTGGGCAGGTTCTTTGAAATTCGAGACACTCGAATTCGAATTCTCCGACGGCTTTGACAGACTACTTTCCCGCCACTGCAAATACGAGGTGGTCGCGAAGGAATTTCTTGGTTTTGTCTCGGCTATGATGGAGACACGAGGAATGGAGGCAATGCAGGCGGTGCAAAAGGTCGAACTTATTCCTGGACATTTCGGGAAAGAGCTTGTGGAGACAGGCCAGGAAGGCGTGGATATCATCGACGATGCTGTCCGTCACAACCCAAAGCTTCGAGGCCGCCTTTTGGAGCTGCTTAGTAAGAAGCCAGAGTGAGAATGGAGGGCCGGTGTCGAGTCTCGAGGAATTCTACCGACACAAGACCGCGCCACCAACGGGAAGACACCTCAGGAGCGTGTTCATTCCGGTTCATTGAACTTGGAGCACTTTTTCTCGCGTCACCGACTTCCTGGCCTCATTGCGCGACATCTGCGCCCGGGATTACTTTGCGGACGAGCTCACTTATTCAAAAAGCACGGCTATCCTCCAGTGCACCTAAATCGCATGAACAGCAAAGAAGTTTGCGTTCATCATGACTATTTCCGAGCTCTTTCCCATCGCCGTTTCAACTTCTCAGACGAATTTCTAAGGCTTTGCGGCGTTTTCAGCATCTTGGAAGAATACTTCCCTATCGGAAGGGCAACGGGAACGGTATCCTTGCCGGTCTGAGAGTGCATCGCCTCACTTCTAGGAGGATCTGGACTGTTTTCTTCTGGCCGAAAACCTCGACATTGCTTTACCACTCGTTTCTGGCGTTCGTCTTCCTTGCCGATGAGCAGCAGATGGCATGGAGTGTTGCTGTTTCAAGGATGCTGTTGCTGAGAAGATCGTGGAGAATGGGAAGGTGTAATTTAGAGGGTGAAGTTCCTGCAAATGTATCTCAACACCCTATGGCCTCGAGAGCTTCTTTAAAGGTCTTAACCAAGTCCTGGGTATCCTCTAGCCCGACGCTAAAGCGTACGAGGCTGACTTCGCAACCATATTGCGCTGCCCAGTCCAACTCGCCGTAGTGTGCAAGCAACACGAAGGGCGAACTCAACGTGAAATTCGTGCCGAGCGAAGGCCCTTTCGATGTGTTTAGATGATCGTAGAACATCGCGGCTTCCTCCACGGAATGGAATGTGGCGCTCAAAAGCCCTCCATATCCACCATCTGGAAGGCGACATTCATCGTAGAAAGGCTTCGTCGGTGAGTGTTTGGGATAATTGACCTGCTTGACCTTCGGACAGTCCTTCAGCACATCTGCAATGGCTTCAGCATTGACGTTGATGCGCTTGATGCGGTCCACGAAGTCCCGACTATTCCGTTCGAGGTAGATGCTGTCTTCCTCGAATTGGTTGTCTTCGTATTCCGTCCCGAGAACAGCTCGCAGCCCATTGTACCATTTCCCCCGCGGATTGAGAATGAGAGCGCCTCCCATGACATTGCTGTCTCCCGAGAACACCTTGGTGAGAGAGGAGACCACGATGTCCGCATAAGGTAGAACATGAACGTTGAGGAAGTTACCGATAGTCTCATCGATAACGATGGCAAATTCGTACTTGTCTGCCAGAGAGCGAAGTCGTTTCAGATCGGGTGTCTTGAGAAGCGGATTACCTGGGAACTCGCAGTAGAGGGCCAAGTAGCGTTCACCCGACTCCAATCGCTTTTCCAGGTCGTCGATGTCGGATGCATCACCTTGGCCGTAGAACAGTGCACCGGGTCCGAATTTTTCAAGTACTTTTAAGGTATCGACGTAAGGAAAACCGTACATGATGGACTTCAGTTGACCGCGGGCGAGCATCAAGGTTCGATGAGAATGGAAGATGGAGTTCATGCCGCAGGAATAAAGGTAGACGTCGTCGACTGAGAATTCTGGTAGGTCTCTGTTTCGATATGCAGCGACATCGATCGACGCTTCGAGTGATTCGGGCAGTTCGAGGTTGGAGGTCAGAGATCCTGCGATGCGCTTGCGTATTGCGAGCTTTGCTTGGGCGGCGAATTCGGTATCAAGATTTCGTCCGAATCGTGCCTCCACGAACTCGACAGAGTCTTGAATACTCTCGCCATTTACCTGAGTACCTTCGCCATTGGGAGTGTCTGGTGGAGTCTTGGTGTGAGCATTTGTCATGTCCACGGATGTGTTCTTCTGGTAACGACGAGGTCCTTTGGTCATGCGAGGAGCATGCGTAATGGTACTCTGCTCTACCATCGAGCCGTCTTCCAGAGCACGATGGCAGAACTCGGCACGCCTACTCTGCACACCTTCTCCAGTGTGCTGCCAGAATGCCTTTGCTGCGGGCCACAGGTCCTTCGGATAAATGACGGCACATATGTGAGGCAGCACTTTCTTCGAAGGCGGCGAAGGAATGCTTGCTGGGACAAAGTCCAAGGTTCTGACAGTCGAGCAGTCTGTATTGGGACTCTGTCGCACGATGAAGTCCCTGCATCGAAGAGCACATCTGGTGGAGGGTACTAGCATAGCTTTCTCGGTGCTTGGATGGCCATGGTCGGCAACAATTCTCTGGGCCAGGGCTTCAATGGACTTGTGGATGAAGAATCTCAGACGAAGTCAGCGGAGAGAATAGAAGCAGAGAAGCAGGACCAAAAGTACCTTGGATAACCACATTTCATCTTATCGACGACCCATTTCTCGCCTTCCTCGTAGCCAACGTTCGATCGCCATGTCGGAAGCGATACACTGACGGCCTACAAATGCGTCAAAACACGATGCAAGCATGAGAGACGGGCATGCTGTCTTACGTGAGGCGTGTCTGGTGGTATGGTATCACCCAGATTATCGTTGAAAGGCAAGGCCACTGGTGCCCCAATGGCAGTCATCGCTGCAAAACTTTTTCTCCTCTGCCTTATATCTGGATTCGCTGGCCTTGGGCTGGTAATTTGCAGGAATTGAGGACTCAACACGGTGTATCTTGATGAATTCCCTCGTCGGGTGTGTAGTCTCTCAATGTGAGTCGTGTAAGAGGCAGTAGTCAAGATTCTCCGTGAAGTTTCACAAGCAAATGCCACAATCTGGGGATCGACAAGGTTGCTTAGGGAGGCCCATACGTACCAGATTGTCAATACAGCACTTCTGAGCGCAGCGACAACAACGCAATCTTTGCCCCTTCAAGTTCTTTTTATTATATCTTTTTATATAGAGGAGTTATAGGTTAGTAATGTAGAGCAAAGATACTCTAATTTGTATCTATTTTTAGAATATAATAAAATTTATAGTCGTTACCTACTAAATTTATAGGATATACAGCCTAAAATTCTAATTTAGAAGTTTAACAATTTTAGCATTTTTTATGCCTTAGCATACTATTTTTAGTAATCTAAAATCTAGATCTTATAGTTTTACCGTATAAAAGTCTAAATTTCAATTTATATATTAGTATAGAAACTATTAGTAATACAATTTAGAAAGGAATATTATTTTCTTACTATATTCTCTTTAGTTTATCTTTTTATTTAGAAGAGTTATAGCTTAGTAATATAAGACAAATATACTTTTACTTTTATATATTTTTAGAAAATAACTAAAACTATTATAGCTATCTACTAAGATTAGCCTAAAACTCTTAAATAAATATTTTAAGATTTTAGTATTTATTAGGCCTTAGTATACTATTTTTAGTAATCTAAAACCTAGACCTCAAAGTTTTATCTAGTATAAATATTGGTTGAGATTCTTATCTTAATACGCTTACTATTAGTCTTAAAATCCTAAAGCGAATATTCTTAAGAATTGTAGGCTTAGTAATTTAAAGTTTACAATTCTTAAGAATATTCTTTTTCAAGTTATAAGACTATTTATAGCTTAGTTAAAGTAAAAGCCCTAGTATAGATTCCTAGTAGGTAAAACTATAAGGTCTAGGTTTTAGATTACTGAAAATAGTATACTAAGGCTTAAAAAACGCAAAAGTCTTAAAATCTTTATTCTAGAATTTTAGGCTAATATTAGTAGCTAGCTATAATAATTTTAGTAATTCTCTAATACTAGATTAAAAATAGAGTATTTTTGTCTTATATTACTAAGCTATAAATCCTCTAAAGAAAAAGATATACGAAAGGGAATCTAAGAAGAATTTAAGTTTTAAATTCTAGATTATATAACTAATAGTAGCTATATTACGAGAAAAATCTCAAATTAGATTTTTATTAAGTAAAACTATAAGGTCTAGGTTTTGTATTACTAAAAATAGTATACTAAGACTTAAGAAAACGCTAAAATTCTAAAATCTCTTACTTAGAAGTTTAAGCTATATAGCTTATTAGCTTAGGATATAACCACTAGAAATTTTATCATTTTCTAAAAATACATATAAATTAGAGTATCTTTGTCTTATATTATGAAGCTATAACTCCTCTAGATAAAAAGATATTTTAAAAAGAACTTGTAGGGGCAAAGATTGCGCTGTGAATTCTTCATTGACAATCTGGCATATATAGAGCTCCGTCGTTGCTCCCGTCAGATCCCTGCAGCCTCGCGTGGCTGCAGCTTCCTTCGAAAAAAGTTCAAGCTCTCCAACAGCAATCGCGACTTTCGTCCTCTACCAATAATGGCACCTCCGGCAAGCAAGAGGCGGAAGACTGATCACGTATCGTCTAGCGATGAAGACGATGACGCCTCATTTGCCTCATTCAGCGACGATGCCGGAGAAGGCGCCGAGGACGGTGTGGACGGTGTGGACGGTGCAGAACTTGGTGAAGATGAGGAAACCGGTGACGCTGAGGAGAGCGGAGAAGGAAGCGACGGTGAGGTATCCGATGGGGTAGATGATAAGGAAGAACGAGGGGCAACGATTGCGACATTGAAAACACCTTCCGCGGCCAGTGACAGTCGGCGGAAAGCGGATAGGGCGTCGCAAGCAGGAGCCAGCGTGTATGCCAATGGCAGCTACAAGAGCAACGTCTTCAAGTTGCAGGTCGATGAGCTTCTGACGCACATCAGGCCGAGGCAGGGTCAAAGAGAGGGAAATGCGGAGGCGGCACTACACAAGTTCAAGAAGACCATTGAGCAGATACCACCGCGCGCGCGATCACCGCTCCAAGATGCAGAGCGAGACCTGATCAAGGAGAAAGTCGCGATACCATTCCCAGAACCGCGACCGCCGAAGGACGCGAAATACAAGTTCGCGTATGCCAAGCCTTCCATCATCAATGTGGTTGGCAGCTTTGCGTTGAAGACCTCTCTGCGCTCGCGCGACCGAGCAGACGTGGACATGATCGTGGTGATGCCAAGCTCCATCTTCGAGGACAAGGATTATCTGAACTATCGCTATGTCTATAAGCGCGCCTACTACCTTGCTTGCATCGCAGCAGGTCTGCAAAGAGCGCACAAAGATGAGTACCAGATCCGGTTCAAGCTGCTGCACAATGATCCGCTGAAGCCGATCTTGGCAGTAAGTCCGGCTGAGAAGTCCGAAGACGTGCTCCCGGCCGACAAGTGGAGTGTCAACATCATCCCATGTGTGGGAGAAGCTCAGTTTTCGGTAGAGAAGTTGCGACCCGAGAAGAATTGCGTTCGCGTCGTGTCGGGAGATGAAGCCGACAAGCAGCCATCAACGCCTTTCTACAACTCGTCACTTCGAGCTGATATGCTTATGTTGGAGTACCTCAAGCTTCTACACGGCGCCTCGAGAAGGTGTGACGCCTTCAAGGATGCCTGCCTCCTTGGGAGTACCTGGCTTCGTCAGCGCAACTTTGCTTCCACGAGCGAGAAGGGTGGTTTTGGAAATTTTGAATGGAATGCCTTCATGGCTTTGTGTCTCCAAGGCGGCGGCGCGAATGACAAGCCATTGCTCAGTGATGGTTATAGCTCTTACCAGCTTTTCAAGGCTACCCTTCACCTCCTAGCCATGAAAGACCTCATAAAGAATCCGTTGCGCATTGGTTCTGCTTCGGATTCGCCAAATCTTTCAGGACCAGTCGCTTGGGACGCACAGCGAAGACATAACCTTCTGTACCGCACATCGGAGTGGTCGTACAGGCGGATCAGGTCAGAAGCAAGAGCAACCTTGACCACTCTGGGAGATCAGATGCATGACGGCTTCGAGGCCACTTTCATCTTGCGACTCAGTGAGCCATTGTACAGCAGTGACTACACTGTACAGATACCAGAGCGCTTGCTCCTGCGCAGCACTCAATCCTCCGATCATGACAGCCAGCAACATCTTCAAATGCTCTATGACGTGCTCAGGAAAGGTCTCGGTGACCGTATCGCGGGCATTACTATAGAGACTGATGCTGTGGCTCCATGGCATGTGGGATCATCACGACCGAAAGCAGCATTGAAAGGTCTTGTTACCGTGGGATTGATAGTAAACCCAGATACTGTAAGGCGCACTGTGGATCACGGCCCTTCTGCAGAGCAAAAGGTTGAGTCTGCGGCATTCCGAAAATTCTGGGGCGAGAAAGCCGAGCTGCGTCGTTTCAAAGACGGCAGTATCCTGGAGAGCTTGGTCTGGTCTTCTCCCCAAGCAAGTGGCCACTCGGTGCTGGAACAAGTGGTCCGCTTCCTCCTTGGTCACCACTTTGGGGCTGTAACGCTCGACGATGTCAGGTTCTTCGGTGACGACTTTAACAAGCTGGTCAGAGGTGGTAGCGATATCAAATCGTTCGAGCCCTTGATGGCACGCTATAAACAATTCGAAAACGACATTCGAGATCTTCACGACCTACCGCTGTCCATACGACAGATCATGCCGGCAAGCGGACAGCTTTGCTACAGCTCCATTAGGCCTCCAGCGAATGGCCATGGATCGCCCGTTCCAGCCGATGTGACGATCCAATTCGAAGGCTCTGGTCGCTGGCCCGATGATCTAGTCGCCATTCAACGCACTAAGATTGCGTTCCTGCTAAAAATCAATGACATGCTTTCAGAATCAGTCGATGGTATCACCACACGCATTGGCCTCGAAAACGAAGGACAAGATACCCTGAATCAAGCTTTCCTCGACATCACTTATGAACAAGATGCGACCTTTCGACTACGCATCTACCACGATCGTGAGCAAACATTGCTTGAGCGACAGCTCAAAAGCAAGACTACCGACCCAAAGACACGAGGAATTGCAGCTATCGGCCTCGCAAGATATAAGCGTGAATATGTCAAAGCTCCTGCACAGACTCAAGCGATAACACGCCTTTGCACTCGATTCCCAGCGCTTAGCGGCGCGATTCGATTGGCGAAGAAGTGGTTCGCCTCTCACCTCCTCACGAACCATATCCCAGAACAATTCATCGAATTACTGGTCGTTCGTACATTTACTCAGCCCTCGCCTTGGCAAACTCCGTCGAGCGTACAGACTGGCTTCCTTCGCACACTGTTCTGGATCTCTAGATGGGACTGGCGAGCAGATCCGCTGATTGTCGACCTCAGTGCGAGTGGAGACCTGAAGCAAGCCGACATTCAGGCCATCCGGACCAACTTCGAAGCATGGAGAAAGCTTGATCCTGCCATGAATCGCGTTGCGCTCTTTGCTGCTAGCAATCTTGACCATGAAGGCACGACTTGGACAGACGGCACACCAGCCAAAGTCGTGGCTGGGCGCATGACTGCCTTGGCGAAAGCTGCTTGTGCTGAGATTTCAGAACAACAGCTGAGCCTCGAACCAGCGAGCTTGTTCTCGTCTCCTTTGAGCGACTTCGACTTCGTCCTCCACCTCAATCCAACTTTCGTTGCTGGCAAGAGTCGAAGATCATCGAAACCCGCTCCGACCTTCAAGAATTTGGAGCTCGACACGATTGCGGACACTGACCTTGTCGGCTTCGATCCTGTGAGGTCTTTCTTGGAGGAGCTGGAGTCCGTTTATGGATCTGCGATTTTATTCTTCTATGGCGCCAGCGAGAGAAGCGTCATTACTGGACTATGGAGTCCTCTGACAGCGAGGAGAAGCTGGAAGGTCAATCTCGTTTACTCTACGATCCCTGTTAAGAGCGAAAGCGAGGATGCAGATGTGCAAGCGAGCCTGAATAAAAACTCTATATTGGCGGAAATCGCCAGGCTTGGTGGGGATATGGTCGAGAAGGTTGAGGTTGTGAAGTAGTGAAGCATATGTAATGTGGATGTTACTACAAGGCCATGTGTTGATAGGCTACTATGAGCACTCGATCCTCTCTATTCTTATCACACATACCGTTGGAGCATCGTAACCTCGGCTCAGTGTGTATACAGGTTGTAATTCATGGGCGGCTGACTGATAGAATAGCAGATCACAAAAGTCTCAACCACCTTGTAAATAATGTAAGAACATCATCAGCAAAAAAAAAATCTTCTCCAAAAAACAACCAGTAATTGGATTTTCTGTGTACATCCTATATATCTAAATCAAACAAAAGTCCCAAAAAGATTTTTTGAGCATATTCTATAGAATCGAAAAAACCCCTTCTCCGTACGCTGTGCTCCCCCCATTGAAGTTTATCCGTTTTAAACCCTCATCAACTCACAAGCCCCATAAGTGATGGAGACACCCTTCTTCGCCTGAAGCTCACAAGCCCCGTAAGTGATGGAGACACCCTTCTTCGCCTGAAGCTCGCAAGCTCCATAGGTGATGGAAACACCCTTCTTAGCCTGGAGCGTGCACATCATGACAGCGAGTTGCTTGTCGGTCCATTTGTGGAGAGGAGCCATTTTGATTGATTGGGTTGGGTTGGGTTGGTTTGGTTTGAAAATGAGTGTGGTTGGTTGATTGAATGAGTGTGTGTTGTGATGAACAGATCTTGTTTTTTTTTTCGAAGTGGGTGGTGGTGGTGGTGTTATTTGTATTGTTTTCTGAAGGGTCTGGAACGATGACGACGGAATTGGAAGAGATATATGATGAAATTAAGGGTTTGAGGGGCTGTGCTGCGTGTTAGTATTGTTGTTGGTGGCCAACGAGGGGTGGGGGTTGGGGATTGTTCTTGGTGGCTTTGTTTGGATTTCTTGGAAGGGTGTGGGAAAACGGTCAGGAGTGTTGGTGCAGTCTTTGTGATTCATGGAGCAGCTGTTACTTGGGACAAAGGGTTGGGATAAATTTGTTCATATTGTTCATGCTCTCTTGCTTGGGTATCGCGGAATCTAGTCTACCTTCGACTCTCTAGGCGTGGATCGTGTTACCATTAATGGTTCATGTCAATGGCAGATGTAATTTAGTGGCAGTGGTGCTCGTTTCACTCATGTGCGGACAACATGACGATGGCGACAACTCGCTAGTCATTCTCGCCGAAATCGCCATGTCCAGTGCTTTCCGCATGCTGCAAGGCCCACTTCTCACCATTGCCCTTCTGCCCGCATTGATTGCATTTTAGCGAGAAGCCTTGGGTGTCCGTATAGTAGTGCCGACTTTGAAGGATTTTGCAGAGCTCGACTGCTGCTTGCAGTGCTCCACCATCAATCTCCTCGCCGTCCATTTGTAGCACATCGAATACTTTTCGGTCGAACTCCGGCTCCGCTCCGCTGAAGGGCGCTACAGCACAGACATCGTAGTGTATGCCGGAGTACACCAAAATGCAGCGCGTCGCTTGTCCCTCGTTGAATCTGTCGACTCTGCAGTCCTGTACGTTGATGCTGCATATCTCAATGCCGAAATGCTGGCTCAGGATAGAAAGTTCGATTCCACCTCCCCATGCATCTTCGCGCTGAATCCATCGGCAGTAGTCATCTGGCTCCTTTTCGAGCATGTCTTTGGTGAAGAAGTCTTTCTCATGCTGAATCTTCTCCGCGACGATCGAACGAAGCTCATTCATCGTATCTATTCCCGGAAGCACAGCCGAAGAAAGAGCGCGGAACATGCAGCTATTGTCATCTGGCATTACGCGAAGGATCATGACGCCCTCCAACTGTGAGACAGGAACTTCTGGCGGATCACTCTCGACATCTCCTTTTGGCTTTCGGGCAAGACTAAGTGGTTTATCTGGAAAGTCCCCGGCCTTGTGTTGTGGCGGTGATATGAGCTCTCGCGGTGGGAGTGCTTTGACGGTCTCTGGTGCTCGGGTTGATCCGGCCAAAGGCTCCGATAGTTTTGACTGGACGTTGAGAGGAGACACGATCAACTGCTCGCCGTTGAGCTTGACCGGGAGATCTGAAAGCTTGGTCTCGGCACTTATCGACTCAGTGTTGAGAGGTTGAGGCGGAAAGCCATACTTGATGTCGAAATCTGCAACGCCCGTCTTTTCTGATATTTCGCGTTTCAGATGGCCATATGTTGCATTGCTGTCTATCGAAATGGTCGCCGTGCCTTGCGGTCCTCTCGCCCGCAGGCGTATTGTGCCGGACATGCCCTCTCAGCAGATTTTGGGTTTGGAATGTAGAAGGCAGTGAAAGTCAGGTGTCGTGATAGGAGACGGGTTATATGAGAGAGGCCAGATGTTTTCAGTTGCGCTCAGATGTGTCGTGTCGTGTCGTGGCGAGAATGGCAGGTGTCCACGTATGGTCGTTTGCCTTCGAGAAGATGCTGTCTGCTGACCAATCCTCGCTGCGTAGATCTGCCTGTTAGTTAGGCAGTGTTTGCTTGATCGAGCTGAGACATAGACGATCTATTGTACGTGATGTCAAGTGTGGAAGTTGCATCACAAGCCGGAGCCCGAGTGATGAACAAGTGAATGGCTTGGCAGGCACGGACAGAGTTCGGCCGAAGATTTGCCGGGCCGTCGCGTCCTCCAAACTCGAGCATACCAGGTGTCGCGACGGTATGCTATGCTTATGCTTCTACACATCCGGATATCGATCATACCGTACACCCCGCCCTCCCCACGCCGCCATGGCATCGGCAAAGAGCCCCAGTTCGACGCCTGTCCCGACCACCGAGCATGCGAGCGAGTCTCAGATCCCAGATGCAGAATGGACGGCCATGTTGAAAGTGCTAAATGCCATCTACGACTACCGCACGGAAGATGGCTTCGATCCGAGCAAGCTGTTCCAGCGCAAAGTCAACAAGCGCGCTATTCCCGAATACTACGATACCATCAAAGAGCCCATGGCCCTGTCTGTCATCAAGCAGAAGATCCAGCGCAAGGAATACCAGAACTTCTCCGAATTCGTACGCGATTTTGCTCTGATCCCACACAATGCGCAAGTCTTCAACGTACCGGATAGTGGTGCATTCCAGGATGCGCTTGTGATTAAGGAACAGTTGGAGAAGCAGCTGCAGATGCTGGTCACTCAGGGTCTGATCACTCAGGAAGTTGCGACTCTGCCAGATTTGGGCGAGATTCCAACATACGAGAATGTGCCGCTAGCCGAGCCCGCAGAGGCTGATGCGCAAGATGAGGATTCCTCAGACGAAGACGCAGAGGATGATGACGACGACGATGGGGACGAGGACGAGGATGGCAGGAAGAAGAAGCGACGAGGGCCTAGGACGTCCACGTCAACATCGAAACGAGACGCCGGGGACGATGCGGATGGGAAGCGTGCGCGGGGGAGACCGCCTAAGCTGCTGACTCCAATGGAAGCGCGCATGCAAACCATTCTCAAAGGCATTCGAAAGGCAAAGAACAAGGCCAATCAGGTCATGATCAAGCATTTTGATCGGCTGCCGGACAAAACGGTCATGCCCGAGTACTATGCAGAAATCAAAAACCCGATGGCATATGATCAGCTGAAGCGCAAGGTGAAGAGGAAGAAGTACAAGACATTGGAGGACTTCATGGCAGACATCAATCTCATGTTCAACAACGCCAAGCAGTACAACCAGGACGATTCTCCCATCTACAAAGATGCCGTGGCTTTACAGGTCGAAGCTGGGAAGCTATACGATCAAGAGAGAGCAAAGCCTGATGATGCATTTGCCGACGACGAGGGCAAGGTCCCATTACCAAATGGTATCCTGCACAATGGCGAACTGTACAAGGTCGGCGACTGGGTCCACATCCAAAATCCTAATGATCTCACGAAGCCCATTCCCGCCCAGATCTATCGCACGTATAAAGCTCCAGGCGGACAGAGCATGGTTAATGTCTGCTGGTACTATCGACCTGAGCAGACCGTGCACCGATTCGACAAGCACTTCTTTCCGAACGAGTTGGTGAAGACAGGGAGATATCGAGATCATACGATGGAGGAGGTCGAGGGCAAGTGCTTCATCATGTTTTACACGCGCTACTTCAAGGGTCGGCCGCGCAATATCGCCGAAGGTACTGAGATCTACGTGTGTCAGTCACGATACAACGAAACACTTCACCAATTCAACACCATCAAGACGTGGGCCAGCTGCTTACCTGACGAAGTTCGCGACAAGGACTACGAGATGGACCTGTTCGACCACCCACGCAAGATGAAGAAGCATCCTTCACCTATCGCTTATCTCATCAAAGACGAGCAAACGGAGACTGATGAGCTCCCGAAGCCTCAATGGGGCGCAGAAGGCGCGCCACCAAAGGTTGGGGCCGTGCATAGACGACCTCGAAATGAAAAGGACTCGCCGCCCCCGGAACCGACACCTCCGCCGCCACCCAAAATGCCGACTCCACCACCACGTCAAATTCCTCCAACTCCTCAACATTCATACACACCTGCAATGGCGCAACAGCCTCAAGCCTCGCGCCCTCAGCCGGTGCCAAATGTATCGATGCAGAACTACACCCCAGCTCGACCGCAGCAATGGCCAGCGCCCGCCGCACCCTCACCCGCGCCTCAGCGACCCCCATCAGCAACTCCGGTGAGCTATGCGCCAGCAACTCCTCAGCAGGCGTCTGCAGCCGCCATACCTCCGCGTCCAATTCCACAAGTTCACCCATCATACCAGCAGACCCCACAAGGAATTCCGCCACCACCATCGGCAACGGGCTACCCACCACGTCCGCCAACCGCCAACTATCGTGAGCCACCACCTGTCGAGGTCTATACGCTGCCTGACGCTGCCAACTTGTCAATCCCACCAGAAGTGCGCGAGCAGTATCAGCGTGATGAGTTCGGACGCGTGCTATTCTTCACTGTTCCGCCCGTCACTGTCGAGCCGCCGGCAAACGTCCCAAGAGGCCACAGCATTCGCTATCTAGCCGAAAAGGCACGCCGCGCCGAGCTGATCGAGAAGCGCAAGAAGGAACGCGAGGCTCAGAAGGAGGTCGAAGAGCGCGTCGCCAAGAAAGCTCGTACCGAGGAGACTCAGAAGATGGCCACCACTGTTGAGGAAATGAAGCACAAGGCACTTCAAGTTCTCGACAAGCAGCTTGCCACTTCTTTGGTCGGCGAAATCGGCGAGCAGGAACTGAACATCATCAGCGCAGCTCAGAAGGCAGAACTTGAGAGGAAGAAGGCGCAGGAGGAGAACAAAGAGAAGAGGACGGCAATGAGAAGCATCAAGCTTGGCAGCGATTTCTTTGCGGATGACTGGGACTCTAGACTTGTTCAGTAGATATCCAGTCTGCTGTCATTTCCTGTGCAAGGCCTTGGAGGATGGATGAGGGCATCGACTTTGGGACGGCGTGCACTTGGACGAGCAAAGGCTTAGAGGTTTCGTGTGGTCTTGGCGTTATACAGTACTCCCTTGCAGCCAAAGCGTGTATTATAACTCGATACCCATCATGAGAATGACTTTTGACCTCAGCCGCTCATCAGAGCAGGTTTGCGAAATGCTTTGCCCTATCAGCACCAAGTATCAGTTATCTCCCGCGAGCTTCCGACTTTTCATTGTTAAAACACAATAGGACACTTCGAAAGACAACGCGTCCCTCATGAGCTCATCAGGCCTGCCACCGCTTGATGAAGGCAGTACCCAAATCCGCCTGCTCAAACGGCACTCGCGCGATGCTAAGGTTGCTGAATTCGACAGCGACAGCCATCAAGCCGGTCAACTCCAATGCTTGAATCCTCATCAGCGCGTTCATAATACCGAGCCAGTGAAGCCTTTGTGATCTCGAGAGCAAGTGCGATGGGCGCTGCAGCTCGAAGTGCGGCGAGAGGTGATGGAGCTGAAAGAGAGAAGATCGGGGGAGCGTCACTTGGAAACATGGACAGCAGGAGAAGAGTTCGAGCATTTGGGAAACAAATAGTGAAAGATGACGGCAATTGAGGACAAAGGCTCATAGCTTGATGTGACTATGGAGAACCCCTTCGTACCATTGAGCTTTCCCTTCGCCATACACTTGACTCAGCCTTGTCGCCCATGCCAGTTGACCCTGCTTTCCCCGCTCGTTGCTTGCCTTCCAAACTCTCCCTTCGCGCCATCTGCTACCTTGAAGCCGTCTTGTCGCGCTGAAAGAGTCGGTACCGTTGAGACCTTAATCACTGAGAGTTGAGATGGGAAAAGGTAATCATCGTTGAGCGTTCGAAGTTGGTTCAAGAGGAAGCCGGCAAACACTGTATCTTCGCGCCTGCTGAGAACTCTGTAGACCCAATGCTGCAGCCATGATTCGCCTGCCTTCTCATTTCCCACCAAAGCGCTGAAGAAGTCGATGGTGGTGGTGGTGGCTGGGAGGCGCGAGGTAATCAAGAAGCTGAGAGTTGTTGTTCGCTGACTTCGATGGGTGATGTGACAGAGCAACGTCATGAATCTTTCGCAAAGCCGTACAGAAGTTGTCAAGGGTGGCGGCGGCGTACCGACAGCTGTGTTGACGATGAAGAACAGTCTTGACTCTCAAGTGACCTCGCCAAGGAGAACGAGCGCTGGGACTTGCGCAGCAAACTGTTGAGTTGATGCTGGTAGCTCGTTCTGGGTGCAGTGCATGGCTTGAATGTGAGATGACTTGAATGAGGCTGAAGTGTCGGCAGTCGCTGGGCTTGCAGATACAATTGCCGAAGAAATGGTCGCTCTGAGGACGGTGAAGTGAAGTGAACTTGAGCTGGCTTCGCATATGTGTGTCCGAGCAAGTCATGCTGTGGCGTTTTTTTTTTTTGGTTTTTTGCGGTGGTCTCATGCTAGGATGACGGTGGAGATGGTGACGCGCGCCATAATGTTGAGAGCAATGCGAAGCTCAAGCTGGCGGAATGCGCGAACTAAGCAAGGCGTACATGTCAGCGTTTATTAATGAAGTGCGTCGACTATCAAAGTTAGACTTACCTTGGTAGCTTGCGTGATGCAGAGGCGGCCAGCAAGAGAGAAGAAGTGGACGGTGGTGGTTGTCATGTCTGTACCGTCGATGTGTCTCGTGCTGGAGGTCTGTCACTTAGACGACAGACGCGACTCCACGAGAGATTGTCGAATGGTGATGTCTCGTGCTGGAGGTCTGTCACTTGATGGCGGACGCGACTCCACGAGAGATTGTCGAATGGTGATGTCTCGTGCTGGAGGTCTGTCACTTGAATGGCAGACGCGACTCCACGAGCCTTGTCGACAAGGACTTATCTCTCCCGTCGCAATGGCAGGGAGATTGCCTTTGATATCATTGTTGCTTGAAAGGAATGATAAGAAGAGGGGGGGGGGGGGGCGGGGCGG